TATCCACACCAACACCATTCATCAAATATGTTATTCTTTTTTGTTTTTTTATCGACCTAGTTTGCAGACAATGTATTTCATTGTATAAGTTGAGGTTAGAAAATAAAAATCGTGTTTTCGTTTGTTTGTTTGGTTTTTCTTTTTAAACTAATCAAGTACGTTGTATGTTTCGTAAAACTTTTACAATGTTGTTTTACCAGAATTAGGTTTTCCTAGTCGCATTTCAGTAAAACATAATCATCTTGTATTTTATTATGAACGAGTTTGCTAACAGTTTCTCTCTTAGAAAAAAAGCTACTGAAATACTACACTTTTTAAACTTCGAGTGTTTAAAATTTTTAGAGATTCATTTCTTGAATAATTAATATACACTTTTTAAATGCATCTAGGAAATAGAATTTATTTATATAAGAAAAAAGTTACCTAGTATCGAAAATTCATAACTTTAACTGTAAAATTTCATCTTTAAGATGATATTTATCTTGAGTCAAAATTAGTATTAATAGTTTCCAAAACTTCAAATACCCCCAAACAAAACTAAAATATTTTAGTATTATGACAATAGTTTCTAAAAGAGCAATAATAACAGATGTATATCAGTTTACGTAAACTTTAAAACTTTTGGTTGTTCTAAAAGATTCAACGATTTAGTAAAATGTTACAATTCTACAAACGATTACTTAGTCAAAACATTTCCTAAAATGTCTTTTTTTAACCGTTCGTAGAGAAAGAAGCGTAAGAGTAAATAATAGTGCATGGATGATAACTCTGATAAAGATAAACAACTCTAAACTTATTAAACAAAAATATTTATTTAATATTAATATATATATACATATAGTTCGTTTTAGGGTGTAATGCAATACAAAAATGAAAAAAATCTGATTAAAAACGTGGAATTACTGCATAAAATTTTAAACCAAATAGACCTCGTTAGGCTTATCAAAATCAATTGAAACGATTTTATAAAGTAATAATTTAAGTGTTAGTAAAAATAAAAAAAATAGAAAATAAAACTGTTCAGTGTATTTTATGCAGTTTGTTACGTTATATAAAATTTGTTTGTGCAGTAATGCAATTTCATGTGATCTTATCTAAATTCAAATTATAATAGTTGACAGAAAATGTCTCCCGGTTGGATAGAGGTAAATTTATGGGACTTACAACTCTAAAATCCGGTGTGCGATTCCCCTCGATAGACACATTAGATAGCCTAATGTGGCTTTGCTCTAAAATAAACAGACAGAAAATAGTCCCATCCATTACGACTGCGCAGTGTTTTACATATCTTTATATGTATATCAAAATGGTTCTCCAATTATCAAAAAACAATTATTTTAACAATAACATTAATAGTTTATTTAAACATCTTCCTTTCTTATAAGAATGTTATAAATTAACTTGAAGTTTAAAAAAAACGAGCTTATCTTAAGTATTAATCATTTTCTTTTATATCTTAGCCATCAAACTAACAGCCAGAAGTTTTGAGGTCAGTCTGAAATAGTTAAAAACCTGTTTTCACAGTTTCCACACAAAACAGTCTGAGTCGCATCCCAGTTTAGAATATTTCGAGGACTTCACTGGTCCCGAAAATTTAATCACATGCAGAAATCAGCAGTTAATATTATGATTGAAAAATTGAGCCTTTGGCAGTTAGGAAGTTTCCAAACCAAACTTTTGTATCTTAACAGATAAGTAAATGTTTTCTTACACAGATGTAGCCTAACAAATTCTGGAAAATATCATTCCATTCGACTTATATTTCCTAAGTAATACAGGATATTACAAAAGGTTTTCTTACTTCATTTTTACTGTTTCTAACAGTGATTGTTACGTTTTTTATGGTTATTTAGTCAAATATAGCGGTACGAGCAATTCGATGTCCATATTATTATCTTAAACTCCACTCCTCACACCAGCACGATCAATTGTTTTTTCATGTTTCATTTTTAGCTCAGATGTTCTTGTAGTTTTAGATAACACAGCTATAAAAACTTTGGTAGAACAAATGGATGGATGTCGTAGTAAGCTGATGTTTATAAATCTATAGCACAATCTCTGTGAGTAGTTAACGCCAAAATGGCCAATAATTTTGAAAATGTAATATATAAATTTGTCCAATATATTTTAACATATACTACCAAAGAAGACTAGGTGATCATTGATGTATGTATGTCTGTACACAAGTATAATCAGTAGTCAATTCATATTCAAAGCGGCGAGAAGAAAGTAAAATTGATTGGTACCAGCGACCACGCGGAAAGATTTATCGTGTTAAAGGAAAATTATACACCCTTATGTTCTGACAGTGACAGTCACGTGCAGATCTATTAAGTGTACCTCGTGGTTGGTCTTTTCCCAACGCTATCGATAACCACAGTCATCTTGCACTGTATTTGTTGACAAGAATGGAAAGTTATCTACTTACCCTTCCTTGGTAAACATAGTTTATATCATGATCCGATAAATGGTTGTGAAATACGCAGATAAATTAGGGAGAGACAGAACTAATATGACTACGATCTTTTATCAAATCAAAAATCACGACCTCCGATTATGAGCTATTAACTGTAGGGAAACAACTCTAATTCTTGGGTACGTTGTGTTGCAGAGTTATTTCAGTACAGGAGTTCTTACATGTCTTGTATATTAGACAACATAATGAAATAAACGTTAACAAAGATTTACTAGAATCCCACTGAATTTGCCCCCCAGTGGCACAGCAGTATGTCTCCGGATTTAGAACATTAGAATCCGGGTTTCGATACTCGTGGTGGGCAGAGCACAGATAGCCCATTGTGTAGCTTTGTGCTTAATTACAAACGAACAAACTCACTGAATTTAAATCAAATGTGACATAGGGACAATGAAATACACTTGATAATAGATTCACGTCTCATTTATATGCTGTGAAGTGTGAATAATTTAATTTTGTGATGTTTTGCTTTCGTCCTAAGCTGAAATTTGAAGCAGATACAGCAAGTTTTCTGTTGTTTACTTTTTAGTCTTTGTTTGTCAGTTTACAATTGCAAACACTTTTCATGTGACAGGTAGCACGGTAAAAAAGCAAAAAGTTGCACAAAACTTAACTAAGAATTGCAAGTCGATAAAAAAATATAAATAGCTGTAGAAGAACTACCTTCTAATGTGAACTATTTCAGAGTATCATAAAATATAACTTGTTTGTTGTTTGAAAATAGACACATAAAACAGGAAAATATTTGTTTGCTCTGTAATTTCTACGCTAGCCGTCCTTAATTTAGAAGTGATACACTAGAGGGAAGAAAGTGAGTCAACACTACCCACCACCAACGAATATTGAGATTGAGCGTCACATTATAAAATCCACACGGCTGAAAGGACGAGCATGTTCGGTGACGGGGATACAGGAAAGTACTTATACACAATAAAAGCACTATACTACTATAGGCTAGGTGGCAGAATCCATTCAACATCTTGGTGTTAAAGTTCGTTATATAAAAATATAATGATAATCAATGAACTCAATGGTAAGTTTAGAAACTTGTAACTCTAAAATCTAGGGCTCAGTGGTGGGCAGAGCACGGATAGCCCATTCTGTATCTTTGCACTATAACAAACAAACAGTCTCTCACAGTATAAATTTTTGTTCAAACCTTTCAACAAAAAGCAACAATATTAGCTTATAGATATCTTTTCATGATGCACTATTATGTAATTTACTACACATTGTAAAACGATGTTAAAAACAAAACAAAATGTCATATGACGTCATTGAGGGCAAATCTCATAGGTTTTTGATTTTTTTTTAATCCTGTGCAAAAGTAGTAGAAATGGGGACTCTAGAAGTAGGAGTGGTAAACAAGCCCACGTTGACAAAACCACTGAAGCTTTGACGATCATTAAATTCTAAGAAATTTGAAGCATTTATATTTAAGTGTACGAAAAGCAGAGGATATTGAGTTTTTCATTCTGTATAAATATAATATCGAAAAGGTTCTGGCATGTGTCTCTAGTCATAAGTTTGTCCCCGGCCGCATTGCATTGTCGACTGATCATCAACTCACCGAGGACAAAATAAACATGTACTAAACATGGTACCACGGCCACACCTGTTGTGCTACGCGTTACCTGAACATATACCAATATTTCTTGTAAAATGTGGTTAACCTCTATTATGGTTTAAATTGTGTTATTTAAAAAGAAAAAACTTTATTTTAAATAATATCTGGAATCTTGATTTTTCGATCTCAAATTATTAATTTACCTTACTTTTTTTTCACGATTATGTTTCGTGCACATAGAAATAATGAGTAAATAAATACTTTAGCTGCTAAGTTAAAAGCTATCTTTACTGGATATTTTAACAGACTACATCATCCTATAAAGTTGGTGGTCCAATCCATATTCACTCTCTAGAATCGAATGAACAGATTAAACTTAAAATCTTACTCAGCTTCTTAATAGTTGTCACACTGATTAAATGTTTAAATATCATTGAGAGAATACTAGACAGACATTAATATATAAAACAAATTATGCTTATAAACATTACACATTTCAATTTAAACGCGTCCTGCCATCTAGTGTAAATCTTTATCATAAACCATTATATGACACTTTTTGGCACCATTTTGTTGCGTAATAGTCTCTAAGTAAGTTTGTGATAATTAGGTTGTAATAGAATTAGCTACAAAAACTAAAAAATAATATTTGAAATTAATATCGCGTGACTAACACAATATTCACGGATCTTATAATCTTTACTTTTCTAAAATTCTAGTATATAAGCTTTTGATAAATATTTGTATCATGTTTTCATTGCAAGGCGTTTAAAATATGGTATAAAAATTTTAAATCCTAGCTAGTTCTGTTCCTATGGGAGACTTGTCTTACAAACCAGTAACATCTGTGTAATTCTAGCAGTTAGCAGCTAGCAAAACCTAAATGGTTTAATAAGCACTAGTTGAATACTAATGTGTTTTGTTATATTTTTAATACTGGTATTTTACCTATATTAGGCCTAATACCTGTGCTGTGGAGGAAGTTCCAGGAACTAACAAGAAGTTCTGGACAGAATGTAAATATTGGATGAACAGGGAAATATGCGGCGTCAAAACGTAAGTCAAGTAGTACTTAAACTAACTGTAAAATACAACTAAAGGCAATAGTATAACGAAACCTAGAGATCACTTTGTCAATCTAATAAGCTTAGCTGGAAATAGTAATATTTTTATCAAAATTCTGTGATTAATTAATTTGTCTAATATTTAAATTACATAACAGAACGTATTATAGCTCTTGTTTTGTTTTCTTTTTACACTGAAATTGTAGATAGTCAGGTTTCGAAATGTACTGTACATATTTGTATGTCCCCCGGTGGGGCAGCGGTAAGCTTACGGACTTCCAACGCTAAATCCCAGGGTTAGATTCCCCGCAATCGACAAAGCGGATAACCAGTGCTTTGCTCTTAAACAAAACAAGCATACTTGTATATAAGATGAGTACTTAAATTAGGATTTGTTGTCGTAACAAAAATTATGTAAATGAAAATTTTTTGGCCATCCTTTTAGTTATGTGATGAAACTTTTATAAGCAAATCAAACAGCCTAACTAAAAGATTTTAATTTCCCTCTTCAACCATATATATGTGTCTTAAATGAAAAAAAAACAACATGTTAATGTTTAATTAAATTTATCAAAGTAGTTACTGAGAGGAAAAGCTGTGCGACTTATTTTTCATAGTTCCCTGTTTACTGAGAGGAAAAGCTGTGCGACTTATTTTTCATAGTTCCTTGTTTGTTTGTCCTTAAGCACAAAGCTGCACAGTGGAGTATCTGGGTTTTATCTAATGCAGGGATGGAACTCCGAACTTAGGGATTCTAAGTCCCTAAAGTTGCCATTGTGCCACTAGGGGACTTCTTAGTAAATTAATTTAAACCTCTATTGTAACATACATTTGGTAACAATATGGTTATCATCACGAACCACCCAAATAACAAAACGAAGTGATATAGTTCAACGATTCTCAGACTGTCCTGGCCTGACATGGTCTGGTGTTTAGGATGTTCGACTCCCAATCTGCGGGTTCGAATCCCCGTCACCGAAAATGCTCGTTCTTTTAGCCATGAGGGCGTTACAATGTGACGGTCAAGCACGCTATTCTTTGGCAAAAGAGTAGTCCAAAAGTTGGCGGTGGGTGGTGTTGGCTATCTGCTTTTCTCTCTCTAGTCTATCACTGCTAAATTAAGGACAGCTAGACTTATCGCTGTCTCACCGGAGAACTTCGGAAAGGAAGGGAGATCAAAACGTTTTATAACTAGTGATTTGCTTCTTGGTGGGACAACGGTAAGACTAAAGACTTACAACTCTAAAGCCCGGGGTTCGATTCTCCACCGTGGACACAGCAGAGAACCCAATGCCACTTTGCTCTAAAAAAACAAGTCCATTCTGGAAAACAGCGAGGAACGCGCCTAATTTTTTATAATGTTTTGAGGTTTGCAATGTTTATAATTATAGGTAGTAGGATCAACTTCCAACTCTAAAACCCATGGTTCGATTCTCCACAGTGGACACAACAGATAGCCCAAAGTGGCTTTTCTGTAAAAACAGACAAAATTACTGTCTGTTATTCCACTGAATTTATCCAAATTAAGTCGTTGTTGTTGATTTTTTAAAGAAGAATATATATATATAGCATAATTTTTAATGAGTATGACTTTAAACTGCAACAGATGGTCCAGCGTGGGGTTCGGGAAGTGTTGTTGTTGTTGTTGTTGTTGTTGCGCTGAATTGGAGGATGATTAAACTAGTCTGTTGTAAGATAATTTTTCTTATCCTTTATTATCCTATCAGATTTCTTATTTATTTTTGTTTAATAACCTTCATGTGCCCATTTTCTAGCGACGTGAGTCAGTTTTAATAAAACTAATTATATAATCTTCCATTACGACGCCCTTTACATATTGTGTAGGAGTGATGCTGTTCAGGAAAACTATTATGGTGACGAAAATAATGATATATTTAGTGGTGAATTAATCATAACTAGTTATAAAAGATCGTTAAATAAGATACTACTGTCATTAATGTGCTTCGGATGATAGAATAAAACGATTCTTTAAACAAAATTAAATAAAATATAATTAATTTAAAAGCACTTTCTTTGGTATTTTGTTGATTTATTTCTTCTTTTTGTTTGGAAGAAACATTAACGTGAAACAAAATTTAAAAGAGTAACTGTTGGTTTTAGCCACAGTGAATGGTACACTATTCATACAGATTGAGGAATAAAAATATTCCTACGTGTTCTATAAAAATGTTTTTCTGTTTGGTTGAGTTTTAAAACTGGTAATAAAAATTACTTGTGTGTTCGACTGAACTTCAAGAATGAAAATAAAAATACTTCCCTGATCGGTTGAGCTTTATAACCGAGAGTAAAAATACTTGTATGTAATTGGTTGACTTTCAAGGTATCAACTGCATGTTACTAAACACTTTTTTAATACTTATATACTTTAACAATATGTAAGCAGAATTTAAAACTTTAACATTGTATAATGTTTAACTCGGGGTTTTGAATAATTAATATCGACTTGAGTACACCGTGCATATATGTAATCAAAACAACTCCGGTAACTCTTTACTCCTACTAAGGGTGCGAGATCTAATGGTGCTGAGGGTGCAGCAGTATCCCGTGGCTTGACTTGCGGGGGCGTTGCGCATACGTGGTAACAATAATATACAGAGGTATCGATTTCATTCACTGGTTTTCAGTTCCCCCCATTACAAGAAATGTTTCAGTGTCAACGGTTCCAACAGCGTTAATCAGAAATAATCATTTCAAGATATTTAACGAGTTAGGTATTAATTATGTTTAACTATAGAAAGTTGAAAATAAATGTGTGACCAAGGCAATCTCGTAAATAGAACAATCATGATTGTCAGAAAATTGGAACAATAACTGCTAATTCAAAAAGATCTGGTATTAATATAACAAAAATTTGTAGAATATTCCACCCTTATGTACCTTTTCCTGAGATACTAACATTTTGTATGCAACCAAATAATTCTATAAAGTACATGCAATGAGTATTATTATAAGAAAATCAGAAACTTGGTTATCAATAAAAATAATAATAAAAAGATAAAGATATAAAAATATTTGCACGTGTATGTAAATTTTAACTTCAGAGTAGCTGTTGAAAATACGACTATTCAGAATCTTAATCAAATATAAAGTCTGTATATATATATATATAAACTGTTTGCTAACTAGTTCCAATATAATTAAGTATAAAGTCTGTATATATATATGTGTGTGTGTGTACATATATATAAGTTGTTTGCTAACCACTTCCAGAGTAATACGTTACGAATGCTGCGAAGGATTTCAGCAAGTTAAACATAAACCAGGATGCAGCGGAGGTAAGACGAATTATGTCCTGTACGTAGGAATATAAGTGCAAATCTTTAGTGAAAATTATTATTGATAATACGCAGAATATTATTTTTTATACTAATGTATGAATTGAGAATAGATAAACAGATATAGTACGTGATATTTACATTTATAGTCGGGAAGTAAATATACGAAAGTTACTAAGATACTGAAATAAATATGTAATATCGAACTCGTTAAAAATGCGTTAAATAGTAGAAAAATTGTGTAAGGTCAAACTATTTTTACTTACGAATATACATTACGTTTTGGAAGTTTGCTTCCTAGAAAAATGTTCTTGTTCTGTTTTAAACCTACTTGATTATTCGAGAATAGAAATAGTAATTAAAACTGAATAATTATAAGATTTGAAAATAAAATGGTACCAATAAACAGAGAAAATAAATATCATATCACATACATAAACAGATAGATGGACATATTATATCACATACATAAACAGATAGATGGACAGATGGTTATGAATATTTTGTAGTCTAATGGGTTTGATAAACCTCGCAGTGAAACCGATGACAAACGTACTGGACACGGCAAGAGAATTGGGGGCTACCTACTTTGTGGACTACTTGACCCAAGCTGGACTAGCAGACAGTCTACGACAAGCTGGTGCTGCTGTTACTCTCTTCGCTCCAACTAACGAAGCTTTTGAAGTAAGTTACTTTAAGAAAAACCAATTATGAAGTTTACTTGTAACATATGACGTTGTTCGACGAGTGTTTTACGAAACGTCAAACAGGACAGTTATGGAATTCCTAAATTGTTAAAAAGATGATGATAGTGAATTCTGGTTCATTTTAGAACTCATTATAGTCTCAAATTTGCTGTAAAAACGAAAAGATTATTTTAAATCTCACTAGAATAATTGCATGGATAGGTCCAGATCCGTACTAAGAAACGTGAGAATCTTGGTGCAATTGTGTGAATGTAATAAATTCATAATTGTTTATTATGTCAAATCAAAATCAACAACCGAATATGATTTTTTTTTCGCGATCCATCTATACAAAACCACCTACTTGTCACCAACAAAATCTATAAAACCACCTACTTCTCACCAGCAGTCTATAAAACCACCTACTTGTAACCAACGAAGTCTACAAAACTACCTACTTCTCACCAACAAAGTCTGTAAAACCACCTACTTCTCACCAACAGTCTATAAAACTACCTACTTCTCACCAACAGTCTTTAAAACCACCTACTTCTCACCAACAAAGTCTATAAAACCACCTACTTCTCACCAACAAAGTCTGTAAAACCACCTACTTCTCACCAACAAAGTCTGTAAAACCACCTACTTCTCACCAACAAAGTCTACAAAACCACCTACTTGTCACCAACAGTCTTTAAAACCACCTACTTGTCACCAACAAAGTCTATAAAACCACCTACTTGTCACCAGCAAAGTCTATAAAACCACCTATTTGTTACCAACAAAGTCTACAATACCCCTACTTCTCACCAACAAAGTATACAAAAACACATAATTGTTACCAACAAAGTCTACAAAAGCACCTACAGAGTGATATGAAATAGTGAGGGGAAAAATGCAGACCTGAAGAAAACCCACGAAAGTGTGTCAAAAGATTTTATTCCACAAAGAAATATCCCAGTATGTTGTCCATTATATATCTAAACTCAAACTGATCCACCTGCTAACCAGAACATTCAAAGAACACATCTTCACTCATATCAAAAAACTTGAAACTATTAGCTGTTTAATCACCAAAGTCCTAGAAACTTGCAACCCCTCACTTCGCTTAAAGAAAGTGTGCAAATGAAATAAATATTCATTAAAACTGGTTCAAAAGTAATTTTAAACCTACCAATAAAAAACTTTGCCTCTACATAATCGCAGCAGAATAAACTTACCTGACTGTACTTACAGTGAGTGTTATTTAAATTCACTTTAAAATTGCAATCACTTGTCAGTACCAGTTCTGTGCTGTAAAATGCTATCCAGAAGAAACCATAACCCGAAGTGTTGTTAAAATAAAAACAAAAGCAACATCAATATTGCAAATAATTTCACTTAATCACTGCTTGGATCCCTTCTGTATTTTATGTAGAAAATGGGTGATCTCACCCTATTTTACATGTAGAATGAGTTCTTTACTGTTCACAGCTGTAACCTAAAAACAAATACCAAGTTCAGTTTACTTCTGGGTATTCATATTAGAAGCATCATGCTATTTACACAATATACGAAAAATAATTGTCTGTGTTTATGTGGCTTAAACATTTCTCTCGCATGTGTCTTAAATGAGTCAATAATCTCTTACATTATTTTCTTTAATTCGACAGTCTTACTTTGATATAAGTTTAGATTCACACCAACCCAATCTAAAAAAGTTGATACATTTGAAAAAAGAACATCATATCTTAAAACGTACATGCTAGCCAATGCTTACACAACTATTCATCTTAAGAACCTATGATAGTTTATTTTGTGTATATATTTGAAACTGAGGGCAGTGTATTCTGTATAAACAAGAACATCTGGAGTTTTATTATAACAGCTGTACTGATGCGAAGTCAATCTAAAATCTGAATTAAAAAGTGCGGAAAGGCTTACTTGAGCTGTAAAGTATTACGTCATGTCCATCCTGGAAGGAACAGAATTAGAGATTATATTTTATTTAACCTAATCAAGGAATACTATTGATGTCTTAGTGGAATGATATCAAGTGTCTAGGGTTTTATAAATATCACACTCTTAGATTAACTTAGTGTGATTCTCACTCTGTACCTCTTTCAACACTTTTTCGTTACTACACATATTTGTCATTATATAGACTCTTTTTCTTACTTGTCAATTTTTCTTTTTTTGTCCTGAGCCTCTCAAAGAAACGTGAGGTTTAGTGGTCGTGGGTATATATATGAATGTAAACGTCTTTTTCTAATAATATCCCTTCACAATCTACTAAACAAGCTTCTTCCACCAAAATGCCTATGGGTTCCTGACTTTGCTGGTTACATGGCCCTTAATAACACATGAGTCATAGATAGAAATGTGAAACAAGCAGTTTCACTAAATTACTACTTGGTTTCCTTGTGTATTTTGTATAGAAAATAAGTGACTTCACCCGATATCTTGGTGATTTCTTTACACAAAATGAAGTAATAGACAAAAACATAAAATTACTTAAATACATTGCAATATGTGTACCCTACCTACCGGTTAAAAATGCAGCTAGGAGTGTCGTAATAATCGCTGGGCTTTTTAAGATGTTACAAATGATATATGTTTTGTTTTAAACCTATGTACATTGTAATTATAAAGACAGTTTGAGTATTGGGATCAGTTAATGGGGCGAAATCATTTGTGTACTTGTATTGAATATCATGAGAGTGCATTTCATTGATTTATATAAACGACATTAGAGGGGGGGGGTGTTACCACAGTAACTGTTTAATATTGCCACCTTCAATTTCAATAACTTCTTCCATACTTTGAAAAAAAAAAAAAAAGGTGCTGGATATTGTAGCGTATCCCACCTCCCCAGGAATTGCCTGAACCCCAGTCGCGATAGTATCATCCAGTTGAGGAATGGTTGCTGGTGATAGGTGTGCATTTGCAGAAAACCCCTAACCAGTAGTGGGTAGATGTGAGATCAGGGGACCATGGCTTCAAGGAAGTGGTTGCTGATAAATCAGTCATCAATAGAAGTCTGCTTGAGTGATGTCTTCACGAGAAGCGTCACCATCTTGCTTGAATGTGACCTTCTGGACACATCCATACTGCTTGAAGCACGACTAAAAGAAGAATGGCCTCAGGATAAAGCCAGCGGTCAAATCACACCACGCAGTGACCTTTAGTGAATACGTGAATATGTGTTTGCTCAGCTGTCCTAATAATGGGTGTATCTGTTCATGGAGTGCTCCACAGCCAGTTTCAATCAACTTCAACACGTGCTACGAAATTCCAATACAATGTTTTTCGAGATTCATAGTCGCGCACTTTTAACTTCTAAAGGCGCCGGTTGGTGTAGAAAAGCATATGGAGAGTAAAGCACAAAGCTTTCCATACAGTCCGACCTGCTATATCCCTGGCACTGCTTGCATCATAAATGCATGTTTCAGCAAGAGCTTCAGTAGCCTGCAGTACCTCCGAAATAGTACCCAATAAGGTTTGTGGACGTTCTGTTCCTGGATGATCCGCCACTCTGTCTACCTCTCTTGGAGCTTTCTAGTCAATCAGCTGACAGAGACATCTTGTGTCGATCCTGCAGCGGTATACCTGAATTTCTTCCTCAGTTTGAAGTAATTTTGTTGGTAGTTCTACCAAACACGATTCGTTGTTCCAAACTTATTACTGTGTTGTACCTTCCACTACTAGCGACAAAATGACGATTGTCGTTCAATTCAGTTCCTATACAACAACCTGATTTGTATATGCAGCGCTCTCTAGTGCCATTTTCGAAAAACAGTGGAATGTACTTCTCATGATTCCGTATATGCTTGTGCGCAAAATATTTCGCCCGTAGGTTACACACTTTTCCTCACAGACTGTTCTCAGTACCAATATACTGATATAACCATCCTTCATATATGACAGAAACATACCCGAAAAACGCACTTTTACAACGAGTACGCATATTGATACGTCACTTTATGTTTAAGAATAGCACTATACCTTTAAAAGTTCCTAACGCTAGTAGAATTTCTTCTTGGTTCATTACGTATAATTCTTCATTTACGTATTCATTTTATTGATGAAACTGCAAATATTTTTGAAACGTCCTCAGTCTTCAACTTTATCAATATTCTAACCTTGGCATTTATTACATAGCTTCTCTCTGTGATTTGCTTACCTTTGAGAAGGTCCAAGAAACAATAACAAGGTATCTGGTTAAACTATTTAAGTTAGTTTAGTAATTTAATAAACGCAAAACTATATATATATATATATATATATATACTTCAATCTTTGTCTAATTTTATTTTTCATAGATGGTGGGTCCTATCGAACGAAGGAAATTTCAGGAGAGTCTCAAAAAACCTGAATATCTATTTAAGTTAGTTTGTTAACTCAATAAACACAAAACTATACATACTCAAATATTTGTCTACTTTTATTTCTTATAGACAATGAGTCCCCTCGAACGAAAGGAATTTCAGGAGAGTCTCAAAAAACCTGAATATCTATTTAAGTTAGTTTGTTAACTCAATAAACACAAAACTATATATACTTAAATATTTGTCTACTTTTATTTCTTTAGACAATGAGTCCCCTCAAACGAAAGGAATTTCAGGAAAGTCTCAAAAAACCTGAATCTCCATACTTGCTGCATCACATGGTTGGACGTAAACTTCAGTCCTCAAACTTTGATGCTGATTTGGAGGTTGAGAGTCTTTATGACGGACAAAAACTTCGTATTAACCGTTATTCAAATGGGGTAAGAAACACTAATCTCTTGATCCAAAGTAATAAATATATTGTATACACTAGAACACTTTGACGTAATTATTAAACGCTTTTGTTTTATTTTCGACTTGATAATGTTGATTTTCCACAAAACTAGCCTTTCAACTTGGTTCTAAAAAATAATAATTCTAAACAAATGCTCTTTTCTGCTTGTCATATTACTGAGAAATCAAAATGTGCGCAGTTCTGCTTATCATATATCCGAAAAACCAAGATGGTTTTTACGTGTCTTTTATTTGTTTTAACTTGTCATTAGTCTACTCTTGCATATTTTAAAACAATAGTTCAGGCATCAATAAAGAAGTACAGAAATATTCAGCTCTTACAGAATTTCATTCCCATTTTTATATTAGACATACGAGAGTTTGTTGGCTTACTTACCTCTGATGATATGTTTTCGAAATAACAAAAATACATTTGGTTGGCTTATTCCACTGATAAGGCCTAACATAGCCTCGTGGTTAGGGCACTCGACTTACAAACTGTGGGTCGTTGTTTCAAATCTCCTTAACCGAATATCCTCGTCCTTTCAGCCATGGGAACGGTATAATGTGACAGCCAATCTCACTATTCGTTGGTAAAGAAGTAGCCCAAGAGTTGGCGGTAGGTTGTTTTAACTAGCTGCCTTCCCTCTGGTTTACCACTCATAAATTAGGGATGGCTAGCGGAGATAGCCCTCTAGTAGCAAGTTTAATCAGTATGCGTTATCAGAGGAGAAAATATTCTTACCTGGTATCATTTTAAAAATATACGGACTGTGCAAGAATTAAGGAAGGCTTTTTTGTTTTTAATTAATGGTATTTTATTCTCAGTTACAAGATGATATGTTGTAAAGTTTTGAGTAACCAACGCTCTGTTTTATTCTTACGAAAATTACCTGTAACTGAAAGCTCTCTATGTCAATATGTATTTGATGGATGATTTGTGCGAAAGATCGCCTTTCGTAAGCCAAAAGTTCCAACTTTATAAACATTAAATCAATAATAAAATGTTATTCAACGCAAATGTAAAATTGAAGAAACAATGCGATGCTTGTTATTATTTATCATTCCAATATATGATCCTTCTGATCATTTTAAACTAAACGTTTACTAAAATTCCGTTATAGGTAATGTTTCAAATATATAGTGCCTACAAGTAAGCAGATTTTGCTGGAAGTCTTTCATGGTGATTATTGTTGTGAAAACTAACTTTCTTCCATAATTAGGTCAATTTAAGAAGTTAACTAGTCAAATAAGTTTTAGGTTTATCAAAATGTTGTGGCTGTGCAATCAAATACCAATTTTGTTTTAGCTGAAAGCAAAAGAAAATCAATTTTAATTTCACTTCAAAAAACAAATACTTATCTTATTCTGTATTTTAATGTGTCAAGATGATTACGGTTAACTGTGGCCCTGTTGTAAGAAAAGATCAAGAGGCCAAGAATGGTATCGTACATCTGATTGATCAAGTGCTTGTTCCTCCTGGACGCACAGGAACTTTAACTATTCCTGAAATTCTCGTGGAAGACGGCAGATTTCGAGAACTGGCTACAACTCTGCTGCAGTCCAATCTAGTCAATGAACTCCGCCTGGGAGGTCCTTATACGCTGTTGGCACCTCTTGATGAATCTTTCGAGAAAATTTCACTCGCTGAAAGAGCTCGTATGACAGGAGACCCGGAATCGAGACTTGGTGAGGTTTTTAGCTATTTTTTTAATTGTAAAGGATGATGGCCTAACTATCATTATCTCAATCCACTAGAATAAAAAAAGAAAAAAAGACATTATATAATGGTTACGTCAGTTCAATCAGCACATATTAGGCAAAATCTCTTATCTATGGTATGACGTGTAAAAACCGCTTTTCATTTTTTTTTGTAAATATATATATAACACTAATTAGTTTCTTATCTCTTTTTCAATAATCAAAAAGACTACTTATTGTATTAAGCTTACCTGTAGCATGTATTTCTCGTAACTCTGCTTACCCTGCATGGTAGAATACATTGTAGTATTTATATAAAAAAAGGCATTTCTTGAATTACTTTAACAAATCAAATCCTTTGTAGCAATAAATACAGTTTAATATATAATATTAACTCCATATCTACAATATAACCAATGTTCAGCTTTCCTTCTCTAAATTACTTTCCTTCAACTTTTATCAAATACTGCCTGTAACTAAGAGGCTGTTGATTAAAAAGTAGGATCTTGTCTTACTAATCTTTTGGCATTGTTTACTTAAAGAGGCTACTGCTTATGTAGATAAAGGTAAGGGTGTGAATTTAGTGTATCTAGATTTCCAGAAAGCATCTGACAAGTTAAAGCATAAAGGACTTCTCAAAAAATTATATCTGTAAGTGTAGGGTATAGGTTGGCTCATTGAATATAAAACTGGCCAGATGGAAGAAAGTAGAGGGTTGTTATAAATGGAGTTCAGTCAAACTGGATTAATGTGCAGAGTGGAGTACCTCAGGGCTCAATGTTAGGATCTTTCCTCTTCTACATCAATGACATAGATGAAGGAATAGTCAATAAATTGATTCAATTTGCTAATAATTCTAAAGTTTGGGCGTTGCTGGCTATGAGGAGAATGCTGTTGCTTTACAAAAGGATTGGGGTTGTTTATGAGTTTAGCAAATAAATGGCAGATAGCTTTTGATTATAATTAATGCAAGTTAATGCATCTGGGATATCACAATTTGAATTATGAGTATAATTTTAATGGGAATAACCTTAACAGTGTTCTGGAAGAAAAGGATCTTATTGTTCATGGTAGATCAGTCTCTTAAGCCATCCAATGTGGCAGGGCAAATGGGATTTTAGGTTGTATCTACAGAAATATTGGAAACAAGTCTGAAGAGGTTGTAATTTTAATGCATTGGTCACTGTTTAGGCCACATTTTGAATTTTATGTTTATTCTTGGTCTTTTTACCTTAGAAAGAACATTGAATTCTTGGAAAGGGTTTAGAGGAAGGCTTCTAGGATGATACCTTGGATGAAAAGGTTATTATCTCTGAATTTGTTTTCACTTGAAAAAGAAGAGTTAGGAGGAATCTGATTGAGGTGTTTAAAGTTGTTAATAGAATTGATAGTGTTAATGTATTACCTTTTTCGTACTTAATGGTGAGAATGTTAGAACTAGGGGACACAAGTATAAGTTTTGGCAGGGTAGGAGTCGTCTCCATATAAGATTGCTTTATTTTTCTAACGGGGTGCATGGCTGGCCTTTGGAACAAGTTGCCTTTAGATATGGTGGATGCAGTTAATTAAAAGGATGTTTAAGGGAAAGTTTGATAAATATTGATAAGGGATGACTTTGAGTGTTGTATTTTAATGTTGTTCCCCGGTGGGTCAGCGGTAAGTGTACAAATTTACAACACAAAAATACGGGGTTCGATTCCCCGCGGTGGACATGGCAGATAGCCAAATGTGGCTTTGCCCTAAAATAGATACACACATTTTAATGTTTTGTTTAGTTTACAAGTCCCTTGTTGTCGTTAGATTATACATATATGTATATATATGTGTGTGTGTGTGTGTGTGTGTGTTACCAAGTTCTGTGTTTTATTATTTGAAATTCTGGAACGAAGACATACAGATGCTATTCAATATACAGCATGTGTAAAAATAAATCTATATGCTATTTATCTTTATTATTAGGTGGCGTTTTCAAAAAATTTTGGACAGTTTTTGTTTTTAATAAATTTAATGAGTAATTATTCGTAACTTAAGATAGTATATTTACATAAGAAAAACTGTCGACTATATAGGTAACCTAGATTGTACACCATGTGAATATCTTGTATTATATTTCACAGAAACTGACGTGCTGATAAGAGAAATCATCGAGCATGACTTAAACGCGGATCAAGTTCTATCGAAACACATGACTAATAGGAAAGTGGTAACTTTAACCTGAACGGCACCTTATGCAACAGATAGATTAAAAAGTCAAGCTAGAAGCCTCTAAAGTTCAGGTGTAGCCATCCTTAATTCAGAACTGCTGAACAGAGGGAGGGCAGCTAGCCAGCAGAGCTTGCTGGCTTTTATGTGGCTACTCTTAACCGAATTGTGGGATTGCTTGTCGCAATTGAAACAGTCCCACATTTCAAAATGCGAAATCTGTTCGGCAGCATATTGCGACTGAAACCTTGATCTTCCTGTTACGCAACACGACACATTAACCATTAAGCCATGCCCAGTCCTAATTTGGAGAACCTGAGATTTCTTTTTACCCTTCGTGGTTTAGCTGTACATTAAAAGGACCATCACTCATTAAGTTAGGGAAAAAACTTTGGACGAATCGAAATTAAAGCTTCTGATACATTTTATTATGATCTTTAAGGGTTAATATTTGAGCAAACGATTGAACGTCGTACTTTATGGTACCTTTAAGACTAAAAGTAGAATCAGAGTGTATGTTTGTATTACATCTCTCACAACGACGTGATAGAAGAATTCTCTCTATATCCGCAGTCTTTCTCTAGTCTAAAAGATAGTCGGTAGATAAATGCACAAAATACTTTCGAGTGAAAGGAAATTTTATCTTTATAGGCTGGATAAACCGGTCAACTTTCATCGCAATCTAAACTGATAAAAGTGTTTCATCAAATCTGAAAAACTATTCTTGTGATAAGTACACCGTATGTAATGAATTACTGTTTGTCGAGTTTTGATCTAGTGAATTGTAAATGTAAAACTATATATTGGTATTATTGTCTGTCAAAAGTTTTAGTAAAGAAATTTTACAAAGCATTTGATTTCAAATAAAAAAGAAATATGTTAAAAATGAGTAGATTTTAATATAGGTTACAGAGGCGGTAGAGAAGGGACTTGCTGGGGCTGAAGTTACCCCAAAATGTGCCTTAACCTATCCTGTAGCCCTCCGCGACAAACGAACAATACTTACTGTTAAAGCTGATTAACCTCCTAATAACTACACTGTGTGTGCCCACAAAATGTAGAATGGAATCCCCTCAGTTTTTCGCCTAGCCCACTTGTCCCCTCACTGGGAAGAGGCTAGCACCGTCTATGTTAAGCTATAACCCGCATTGTCTCCAAATGATAAATATAGCTTCTAATTCGAACACACACATTGTTTTCCTTCCTATATTGTAACAATATCATTCAACAAGTAATTTGCTTCAGTTACAATTATTATTTTTCCATTGATTTTACAGCCCTGCTGAAGAATCACGTAATCCCTCACGTAATGTGTACTCCGGGTATAATAGACAAACACAAGATTCGAACACTTGGAGGAGATCACATTCATTTGCATTGCAACCAGTCAGGGACATTTGTTAATGATGTGAAGACGACGTCAGAGGTCATGATTGCTAAAAATGGAGTAATAAACATACTTACTGATGTTCTTGTGCCGGAGCGTGGTAAGTTCCACTTTCATAAATCCAAAAAAACATTTTATAATAATAACTAAATACATTATTACAAACATAATTTAGTTGTGATATTTTCAATGACTCTCTTGTTTACAACATGCATGTAGTTAGAACTTTGATGTTTAGTTTATTTTAAAAAATATTTACTTTAAAAGATGGTGTCAAATTATTAAGACTCGCTGCTATAGAGTCTTACACATTTTTATAAAGTAAACATAGAAAATAAAGTAAAACTTTTATGATAAAATTGAAACGTAATCTTATCTTAGAAGAAACTATTAGCTAATTTTTTATACTAAAACTTATGTTACTTCTCCATCTTCTGTAGTACGAAGTGTTTTAGATCTAGCAGTACAATCAAACAACCTCAAGACATTCTCCACACTAGCGCGCTCTACCGACATGGCTCAAGAACTATTGCGCCCCAACGTCACCATTACAGTGTTTGCTCCTTCTGACAAAGCTTTTGAAGCATTACCAGAAGAGAGACGACAGCGGCTTCAGGAAAACACGGACGAAGCTCGTAGACTGTTACAGTATCATATCATACAAGGTAAAGTAAAAACGGACACCTTCTCAGATAACCAGAAAGTGGAGACAACAGGAAAAAAGAATCAACTCCGTTTAAAAGTTTACAGGAAGGTACGAACGCTATTTAATTGATACAAGTTTTTTACACTAAACAATTCACTCAGACAACACACATGAGTTCCCAAATGTTTTAGCCTGACGTCCTTTAAGGTTTTAGACTTTGGCTGAGACCCCAACTAATTATCTAAAAGAAATTGTAAATAATAACCACTCTAGATGCCTTACTTTCATTGCAATTCGTTTTTTGAAAAACAAATATCAGCCATAAACGACGTTTGTTGTCATATTTATTGCAATAAATAAAATTCTCGCTAAAAATATTGTTTTGTCCGATGTCAGGGAAGTTTCAAGATAATATTTCTTGATGTGGTCAGGGCTATAATATAACATTTCTTACATTTTTTAGTTGTTGTTGTTTTATTCCATGTAAATACGGGCCAGTTCTATAACCTTCTCATGGCTCAACAAGTAAGGTTTGGATCTTTCAAAATTGCTCTGAATACTCGAACTATTGACATAATAGGCGGAGTGCCAAAAAATATCTCTCATAGTCAAGAACTAGATCTACTGAGGGTTGAGTAAATTATGTTTAAATGATTTTGAATATGCAAAACAGTAAGTCACGTGACATTTTTAGCCGATCAAATGTCACAGTGGAACAGAATGTATTAGAACTACATTTTAACATTTCTTGGATACTACCGAAAGTTTACCGCTTTGGGGAAGGGAATGTAAAAGCCCTTTCCGACGCAAAATAGCCATACACTCAGATCATAAGTATGTGTTCAGATTGGGGATTTAGCTTTTTCAAGACAAGGATTTTCCTGGTACTTAATAGCATTGGAAAACAAAGGAATGTTGATCAACATATGGCCTTGGAAAGAAACCTGCTGAGATAAGCAAAGTACCGAATATTTTAACATATGAAAATTCGCATACATAAAGATCGGTAGCAAAAGCTTTCCGCCTGCCATAAGCAGCAGTACCAAACATGAGTAACTGGTTTGGTTTGGTTTTTGTTAAACGCAAAGTTAAACAAATGGATATCTGTGCTCTGTTCATCATGGGTATCGAAACCAGTATTTTAGTGTCATAAGCCTACAGGCTTACCGTAAAGCTACTGGGAGCCCCCAACATGATTATGAAGAATCTCTATCTTACAATCACTTGTACACAAGCAGCTTGAGAAATAAACGGGTATTCATGCTATTCCATACGACAAATCGGGATTTCTGTGCGATCGCTGGAAAACCGTCGTCATTGTACACTAGAAGGCTTATGGAAGGCAAGCAAGGAATAGGGACGCGTTTTTTATACGTGACAACTTTAAGACAAAAGCTTTTGCAATAGAAAATAAACAACAGGGGTATTGTCAAGTTGCACAATCGTCAAATAGAGCGTTTTAAAATGTAGCGACATGGCCTGTAATAACGTGATGATGTAAAAATCGTTTTGATATAACATACTCAAATAGAGCGTTTTAAAACGTAGCGACATGGCCTGTAATAACGTGATGATGTAAAAATCGTTTTGATATAACATACTCAAATAGAGCGTTTTAAAACGTAGCGACATGGCCTGTAATGGCGTGATGATGTAAAAAACGTTTGGATATAACATACTCAAATAGAGCGTTTTCAAACGTAGCGACATGGCCTGTAATGGCGTGATGATGTAAAAAACGTTTGGATATAACATACTCAAATAGAGCGTTTTCAAACGTAGCGACATGGCCTGTAATGGCGTGATGATGTA